CCGTCTTCAAGTCGCACACCCACCACCGCAAGGGTCCGGCCCGATTCCGGAGCCTCGACTTCGGCGAGCGCAACGGCTACCTCAAGGGCGTCGTCACCGAGATCATCCACGACCCGGGTCGCGGTGCCCCGTTGGCCCGTGTCAGCTTCCGCCACCCCTTCCGTTACAAGAAGCAGAACGAGCTCTTCGTCGCCGCCGAGGGCATCTACACCGGCCAGTTCATTTACTGCGGGAAGAAGGCCAATTTGGTGGTCGGAAATGTGTTGCCTCTCAGATCGATCCCGGAGGGAGCTGTGGTTTGCAACGTCGAGCACCATGTCGGCGACCGTGGAACCCTAGCTAGAGCTTCTGGTGATTACGCCGTTGTTATCAGCCACAACCCTGATAACGATACTTCCAGGTCTATAACTCTATGCATTTCTCTCTGTTCATTTAATTTTGATTTCAATCTTGGTAAAACCATTGGATTATTATATTCGATTACAGAGATTAGTGTATTTGTTCATTGGATTTCGATAATTGGAGCTCAAAATTTCATTATTATTGAGATCCCCATTTCTCTTATGATTGCAATTTCATGTAGCTATGTGATGTCTCATTCAATCACAAAAATTGATCCCTTTAGGTGATACTTTGTTCATTTACTGAACTGGGTTGGGTTTTGTTTTAGGTGTTATTATGCAGTATGCGGTTGGGTCAGTTTTCGAATCGAATTTCAATTTAGAAGAAAGGAACGATTTTTTCTGAAAGAAAAGAGACTGTTGTTGGGTTATAATTTTATGTTCACGGTACTACTAATCGAATGTGATTATCTCATTTTATTTTTGCTTTCGTTTAGAACAATAGGGCAATTGATTTTCTAACAAGAGACGGTTATTTGGTTGTATTGGTCAGAAGATTGTGAAATTAAGGGTCAGATTTCAACATGTCTGTTTGCATTATGATTGAACTGAATGTGATTTGTACTGTCCATTTTCTTCAAGTGTTGCACTTTTGTGATTGTAAAAGCTTATATGTTGGCATACTGTATGGTTTTGCGGAGGTGTGTTAACAGTTGTGTGTTTCCACTGGTTCTAACAGGATCAAATTGCCCTCGGGTGCCAAGAAGATTGTTCCCAGCGGGTGCCGTGCTATGATTGGGCAGGTAGCAGGGGGAGGAAGAACTGAAAAGCCAATGCTCAAGGCTGGTAATGCTTACCACAAGTTCAGAGTGAAGAGGAACTGCTGGCCTAAGGTTCGTGGTGTGGCTATGAACCCAGTTGAGCATCCTCACGGAGGAGGTAATCACCAGCATATTGGACATGCAAGCACAGTCAGGCGTGATGCTCCTCCTGGGCAGAAGGTTGGTCTCATTGCTGCTAGGAGAACTGGTCGTCTCAGAGGACAAGCTGCTGCGAACATCTCTAAGGCAGATAAGTGATGAGATTACATTTTCGATTTTATCTACATTCGCCGTGTTTGGACCGTGTTATATTTTATTCAACACTAGTTTGGAGCATTTTGTGGAGGAAATTTTGTTTGGATGGATCCTTTAATCTGTTGCTTAATATATTATCAGTTTAACAGTCTCAAGATCTGCAAGTTTTGGTAATGTTGTGGTTTTGGTGCATATTGAAGCTCTACCCTTATTATTCATGAAATTATATTCAAGAAATGTTGGCCAAACACTGAAGCATTTTATCACAGTACAACCTAACGTTCGATAAAATATTAACCTTGATTAAATAATAAAATATTCTTTCGGCCTCAACTCGGGCTGGTTTCTACGCTCTAAATGTATAAGATTTTATGGGAAATTTTTCCCATTGTCAATCGTATTGTAGATGTCGGGAAAGCTTTCCAAATTTGTAAATGGTCTTGGGTGCTAGGATCAGCGAATGAAGCGGCAAATTTCGTCGCAGCCTATGTGGGTACATAGATGAGCGAGGAATGCAGGATTGACAGACCACCATCTTCATTGATTAGAATCTTAAACAAAGATGGATTGTCATGTCCTCCTTAAGTGGTTTATTGGAGTGGGGAATGACGTTTGGTTTCTAGTGATATTCTTCTTTACTTACAAATGAGAGGTCTTAGATTCGATTCTTGAATAACATCACAAGCTGATCACCCTTAAAGGAAGAAAACAAACACAATTGTTTTAAGCTTTTTGTATTGTGAATATAATTACATTGCATATTTAGAAGATCTTTCATTCAAAGCAAACTTCTTACGAACAAGCCCCTCAAGAGCTTTACGAGTTGAATATGCCCATGCTCAATATTGAATTGTTGGGTCGAGCTTGGTTGAAAAAATGAGCCAAACTCGATATAAACTCCAACTGTATCTAGTCGATTGGGGTTTTTATTTGATTTTGCTTTATGTAGAATGATCCATGACCCTCTAATATCTTTTGAGCATTGGATTAAGAAATTGAAAATAGCTCTTTATCTTCTGAGTTTCTTTCCCTACTCGATGAAAATAATTTAAGTCACTTATTATGACCTCGTTGAGAATGATTTTGATGTAGTCCAGACCTAATGGAAATTTTAACGGGTTCATGAGGAAAAAGCTTTTTCCTCATGAACTAAGAAATGCAAAATGAATCTTACTCTATTGTCAATAGACTCATTCTCCCATGTGCATTATTTTACAACTATAAATGATTGAAATTCAACTAAATATTGTTTACACATCACAACTGTTCATCCGTGAAAAAAAATGTGCAGAGAAAATCCCTTTTTAAATGAAAACTAACGAAAAGTCCATAAAAATATTAAGTTTTAATGAAAAATGACAAATAAAGGTGTAGTGAATGGTACCAGAAAAAGGTAAAAATGTGATTTTTCGTTAAAAATAAACAGTAGCGGGAGTGTTTCGTTAAAACTCTAAATTTCTAATCGTTGATAGGAGGAAGGGAAAGGACCAGGGCCCAATTATTTCACATTGTTGGGCTTGGACCAAAAAAGAAAATTTCCATTTTGGGCTTTACTCAGGACTCGTGGTATAAAAGCAAATAAATGCTAGGGTTTCTGCATTTCGCAGCCGAGTAGGAGCAATGGGGAGAGTCATCAGAGCTCAGCGTAAGGGTGCCGGCTCCGTCTTCAAGTCCCACACCCACCACCGCAAGGGGCCGGCGCGCTTCCGGAGCCTCGACTTCGGCGAGCGCAACGGCTACCTCAAGGGCGTCGTCACCGAGATCATCCACGACCCCGGACGCGGTGCCCCGTTGGCCCGCGTCAGCTTCCGCCACCCCTTCCGTTACAAGAAGCAGAACGAGCTCTTCGTCGCCGCTGAGGGAATCTACACCGGCCAGTTCATTTACTGCGGGAAGAAGGCCAACTTGGTGGTCGGAAATGTGTTGCCTCTCAGATCGATCCCGGAGGGAGCCGTCGTCTGCAACGTCGAGCACCATGTCGGCGACCGTGGAACCCTAGCTAGGGCTTCTGGTGATTACGCCGTTGTTATCAGCCACAACCCTGATAACGATACTTCCAGGTCCATTTCTCGCTTTGTTAATTTCGTTTTTCGATTTATTCATATGTGAATAATTGGATTTGCATCTACGGGTATAGGTATCTAATTTGATTCAATGAGAACTGTTATCCCTTAATACTTTGCATTTACGGGTTACATGTTAGCTGTTATTGTGTGGTAGATGGTAGGTTTTTAGGGTCATTCGTTGAACATGTTTTTCATGAAGAACTGTAGAAAAATGGCTGGTATTTTTTCCTGAAACTAGAAGCCATTATTTGACCCTATTATTTACAGGGAACTTTAACGAAAAGCTTCCGGAAGCATTCAATTTAACCAAAAATCATATTTTTACGTTAAAAAATCAATCATGGTACTTTATTTTGTCCTTATCGATTGTCTTTATCGTTAAAACTCAAAGTTTTCAAGTCATTTTCATTAGTTTTTCTTTGTTTATACGATTGTCAAAATACCGAAAAACGAGTCGGGTTCGAAGGTTGTTGTTCACATTATTAACTTATCGAGTATGATGTCCTTATTCCTTTATTTGGCTTTCATTCAGAACTAGTTGGGGATTGATTAGTTTTAAGAATGCGTTATCCGTAGTTGGTCTCATTTTTCAGAAGATTGTGAATTGAGAAATGTTTTCTGTCCATAACGCAAGCTGGTTAAATATGATTTCCAAAATTTCTGTTGTTTTGATTTGTCTTGCGCTTGTCGTTTGCTCTTATAGAAATATTTTGCCTTTCTAATTGTAAAAGTTGAAATTCTGTATGGTGTTTAGGACACGAGTTAACAGTTGTGTGTTTGTATTGGTTCTAAACCAGGATCAAACTTCCGTCTGGAGCCAAGAAGATTGTTCCAAGTGGGTGCCGTGCTATGATTGGGCAGGTTGCAGGAGGAGGAAGAACAGAAAAGCCAATGCTCAAGGCTGGTAATGCTTACCACAAGTTCAGAGTGAAGAGGAACTGCTGGCCCAAGGTTCGTGGTGTGGCTATGAACCCAGTCGAGCATCCTCACGGAGGAGGTAACCACCAGCATATTGGACACGCTAGCACTGTCAGGCGTGACGCTCCTCCCGGGCAGAAGGTTGGTCTCATTGCCGCCAGGAGGACGGGTCGTCTCAGAGGACAAGCTGCTGCAAACATCTCTAAGGCAGACAAGTGAAGAGGCTTTTAAGGGATTTATGTTTTCTTTGTTTCCTAAGTTTGCTGTTTCGGAACTGTTTTAATTTACATTCAGTACTAGATTGGTGCATTTTTGTTCGGTCTGAACCTTTTATGCTTTGATCAATGTATCATGGTTGTAACAGTCAAAACCTTTTCATGTTGTCATATGGTTCTTGTTCTGTCCGCTGAAGTTCCAGTTGTACGTACAGTTTCACGTTCAGACCCCCGCAGTTTCCGTTAGACGGGTTGTATCAAGTTCTCCGCAAGCTGCCATAACCTGCATTTTCTTTGAGAATGCCTGAAGTTCGCCGAGATTTTGATTGGTAATACAGGAGAGAGCAGCGGCATAGTCATCTTTCTCTAGCGTTGTGCAAAACCTTCCCTTGACGAGAGGCGGAGGTGGAATCCGGTCTGCCTCGGTCAAGTGCATCCAGGTTACGTCCAGTAGCTCAACCTGTAACATTCACTCCGTACACATTGGACATTTTCAGACAAGTGACAACTATATTCCGAGAGTTGGAACGGAAGTATAAAAAGAAAGAAATGATACCTTTCCGGCCTTGCAAGCGTCCAGTATCATCCGAGGATGGCGTTTAGCATCGAAGTGAAACACGTGGTGTAACATCCTTTTGTAAACATACTCAAAATCATCCCACCTCTTTTCTGTGACGCAGGTGTCGAACAAAGTGTTGAAAGTGTAGCTATCTGGTATTATCCGAATCTTATAATCGGATATGCTTCAGGAACAGATCTCTCGCTTTTTCAAACATTCCGTGGTCCAAGTAAGCCTTCAGCATTATGTTGCAAGTAACGAGATTTGGGGAGCAAAAGTTCTCCATTTGTTTGAAAACATATGCCGCATTTTCAACGAGAAGGAATGATGGAATAAGCGATCCAACTGTAATGCATGCTGAAGTGCCAAACCAAAATAAATACTAAAAATAGAAAATGGGAATAAATTTCACTCATGTAATGAAAAAGACAGCTCAAATTACCTGCATTAGAGCTTCTTGGCACCTTCCAGCACTACAAAGGCATCGAGCAAAGTCATAATAGAGAGCCGCATAACCTACTATCCCTCGTCTTTCCATGTTGTGAACAACCGATACAGCCTCATCTATTTTACCTTCTCTCCAAGGAGTGTTCACAACCGTCAATATTATCCATCTACAACGGAATATGAGGTGAGACACTAGTCCAGTAGAAATTGTAACATACCTCTGTAAGTTAAAGCGTTTGGTATAGAAATCTTCTGCACTTTCTTGAAAAACTCGTGAACCAAGTTGTACTTGCCACATGCTAACATCAACTGATTTATTAAAAACGATTTCAGGTATGCATAATTCGAAAGAGATATTCAGGGTAATTTAGCATCCTAGTACCAGGCTCATAAATCTCATAAAATCAAACAGATATGCTTCATGAAAATCGTTGTCCAGCTTGTGTCAGTTAAATGATTTATGGATAAGCCTAGACTGGCCCAAAAAGTTGCACGTAAGAAGCTCCACAGAGAGAGAATGGGCAGAAAGCTATATAAAAATGATTGAGGGGGCTATTAATTAAATTTACTTAATTCAACAAAGTTGTACCCTGTTTCATTGACTGCTGAAAATCAAACAGGATATCTACATCAATACCTAAAAACAAGCACACACATGACAAACTAAATTCGTTATCACTGACTTAATGACAAAAGACAATGCATGAGAACTAAACAGTACAGGCTTAGGAGATATTCAATGGACCGGAAGAAAGAAACTTAGGGCAACTTATACCTCCATGACAAGTCCATAAGTTGTAGCGGCAGGCTGTAGGCCTTGTTGCTTTAACTGCTGCAAAACCCAAAATGCTCCTTCCCATTGTTTGCGCTGAACACAAGCATTCAATACCTGCATTTGCAATACATTACACCCATGTATATAGAACTCACACTCATGTTTACATCAATTATCACCAAGTTCTACTTACTGCATGGAAGACAACAAGATCCAGCCGAGGATCTGCTCCTGTTTTGAACTTCTTCTTTGGAGGAGATCTCATAGTATCAATCACATCAAAAAGTGCCCTCTTATGTCCCGCTTGTCCAAGAGTTACAGAAATAGAATGATAAGCTACCAAGTCAGGATACGAGGACATTTGTTCCTGGACAGTAAAGAAAAAAGAAAAGATAACATTGGTTGGTCAAAGTACTCTTCTTCCTTTTAACTACAAGTGTGTTTTATGAGCATGAAGCATACTGTAGAAAATAACAATTTATGTGAAATACCAGCATTGCATGAAATATATTAAGTTCCTCCACAGGTCTCCTTGCCTTTCCAAGTACATCAAGTGCAGTTGTGTATATGTATCTGAATTTCAAAAGGGGAAATGCTTCAAATTTCTCTCAGATACAATGATTAGTGATAACAATCTTAGATGGTTGTTCAACAAGATAATTAATTGTCATGTGAAATCTAATAGAGTAGTAACAACTAGCAGGAACCACTTGATTTCTAATTTTATATTACAAGATAAACAATCGCAAGCAGCGTAGTCTAATAAGGTAAATGAGATTACTCTTCGAAAACTCTTATTTTGTACCATCCACTAATTGTGACAATTTCTTAAAAGAAACTGTGTTGTAACACTACGATTCAAGCCCACCTAAATGCTGGAATGCTGAAAGGGAGTCTAAAGCTTCATGATATTCATCATTTGCCATAGTTTGCTAAGGAGTGTATGCCAATCTTTATACTTAATGCTCTAATATTTTCTCAGGGAAAGTACCTGAGCTTGTGGGATTTGAAACGTTCACGCATTTGAAGCCACTCAATGACTAGTAATACCCGTCTCCAGTTTCCTAGTTTTCCCAATAGCTGGATAACTCTCAATATTGAATGATCTGTGAATCTGATTTGTGCACTTCGCATCATCTTTGAAAACATCCACTCAGGCATGTCGATGTCTGCACCATTCAGCCTGTTAAAATAATTACTCAACATTAATGAGATCACGAGAATTCATAAGTGCAATACATTAACACGGAGATATTAAGTTTGGTAAATCACAAGAGGGAAATAGAGAAAAATCCAGAAAAAAGGAGCAAATTTGCCTATCCTCAACAACAAAATCTTTTTAGCACATGACTGTCCCCCTCCCAAGTCGTTATAACAGGAAAGAAACACTTTATAAACTCACAATGATCGTTCAGCAACCCAGTTTACAATTGGAATTAAGTATAGAGTCAAGCGTAAACTACAACTACACGACTATCATGTTGCATAAACTCCAGCTAGGAAACAGTATATTAAATATTTTTTTCTGCGTGGATTGATGAACTAAAAATTATACAAAACATAATACAGATGGCTATAGAAGGCCAAACTTAGCTTGACTTCCATGATGCTTTATACAAAGAAAACGGTAATATAGCCAGTATGACATACTGAACAACTCACTCATACGCCATACCGCCAATACATTTAAACCATTTGGTCCACTGAAGTACAAGGAATTGTAAACGCCTAAAATCAATAATGTCAGTCTTTTTTTCTAAAAAGAAAATAAGTAACACTAAACTTGTCATCAATAATTGTAAAGCCAATTTCATCAATCAAAAATGTAATTCTTCGAATATAAGAAGAGGAAAAAGGCATAGAGAGCATACCACTCTGCTAGCTTCTGGATTCTCTGCTCTATTTCCATATGTGAAACTCGTGGCTTATCCATAATATCACCGAACTCATCAAAACTCTGAAATGCTGCTCTTTCAACCTCCAAACTATTGTCATTAAATCTGTTAGGGAAATCCCTACCACTCTTAGTTACACTTCTAGGAACAAGACCTCTATCAGTGGCTTTCTCCGCATTGATGTGGTTCGTCACAACTCCATCTTCATTTCTAACACCAAATTTGCTTCTTTCAATGGCATTATCCATTGACTTGTAAACTCTCGGGCCATCTTTTGCATTTTGTGTCATTGTACTTCTACTTCTTCTTCTAGCATACCAGCAACTCTCAGACCATCCTTTTGCATTTTTTGCCATTGTACTTTTACTTTTGACGTCCAATTGCGGTTCTACCCTACCAGTATATTTTGACCTTCTTCCATCTCTTGTCTCTCCCCTCATCATCTTCTTTTCCTTCTCATCCTTGTTGCTCTGTCTGTTATCACATTCATCCTCAAACCCTCGTTGCCCTTCGCTTTATTCTGCAATTCTGTTTCTATTTCCAAGCGACTCATACCGATTCTCAACTTTTGACGCCTTCTCTCGATTCAAATTCCCTTCAGGCTCCCCCAATTTTGCATCCTTTCCACTACCCTCAGACAACAGTCTCGTGGAAACACCTCTACTCCTCGAATTATGCTTCGAATTCTCTTCTTTCGATTTCTGCTGCTTATCTTTATCACTTCTAAGTCTAACAGTCCCCATAACCTTCAAGTACTGATCAAATGACGGCTTAAATTCAAATTCTATCTCCAAAATTTCAGACCCTTCCTTCGACACAGCACTAATAAAAGTTCTAGAATTTACAAAATTAATACCAAAAACCCGATTCTTCCTCACATTCTTCTCATATAATCTAACACCGAAAACAGGTCTCCGAAAAATCGAAAACCCAGATGAAGGAAACGGCTCTGGGGAACAATTCGTGACAAAAATCCCATTACTCTGAAAATTGGAGACACCCAGTTGAGCATTTGCCATAACCAACTCCACCATTTTTCAATTCATCCAACAAATTTCACATACTATCGTTTAAAGTTTGAAACTTTCCTACCCACATGCTGAGCTACTGAGTGAAAAAATTACAGAAAATACATAGAGAAGAGAAAAGAATGGAATTACAGAGGAGACAAAGTACGAACTTGAAATTGAAGAAGCAGAAGAGCGACGAGGAGTCGCTCCAACGACAGCAGTCGGAGAAGAAGCTGAATGTCGTTGGAGATACCCATTGGAAACCCGGGAATATCAACGAATATTGGTCGAAAATGAAGAGAATATTGGGCCGGGTATAGGCCCAATAAGTGGTCCAGAGCCTGATTTATATTTAAATGATGGAAATTACAATAAAGCCCTAAATGTGGGGCCTCCGAGGCACAGAATACGACCGTTGGCCACGTAGCTCTTGAACCCCGGAGAGGCATTCAAATTTCAAAAATCTAAAAGTCGGGACAAATAAAGAGAGCGAGCTGCCACTTTTCTCTCTCGCATTGGCTCTCAGCTGGTCTTGGAGTAAGAGCTTTCAATTTTCAAGCTTTTATATCTTCCTTTTGGAACAAAAGATTTGAACTTTATCACCCCAGTTCATCATTTCCACTAGATTTTTGGTCGATTTTTGGAGCGTCCCATGCTCCAATTGAGTGCCAATTTTCAGACATTTTTCTGTACAAGTTTTGGTTTTTCACAATGAGAGAAGAGAACCAATCGGAAACCAGAGCACGATCGGTCAAATTTTCCGACCAAAACCAGGTTCCGAAGTGTTCGAATGCGAAGGGCAGCAGCAATTCTTCAAGATTGAGGTCTGCTTCCTCATGGGGTTCTCACATTGTCAAAGGGCTTGCAGGGGACAAGAAGACCAAGGCGCAGCCCGCAGTCACGAGCAAGAAACCGCCGCTAACGGGGTCTGATTTGGCGAACCAGAAGATGCCTTTGGCGCCGGCTCAGTCGCGCGTCAAGCGCTCGCTGATTGGCGATTTGGCGTGCTCTGTGAATGCCAATCAGGTTCATCCTCAGATGTATCCGACTCACCGGAGGCAGTCGTCCCGGGACTTGTTTATTGAGCTTGATCATTTGAGGAACTTGCTTCGGGAGTCCAAGGAGAGGGAGTGTCAGTTGCAGGCTGAGTTATCGGAGTGTAAGCGAAACCCGAGGGTTTTGGAGCTTGAGAGGGAGCTTGAGGTGAAAAGGAGCGCGCTTGATGATTTGGCTCGAAAAGTTGAGCTGCTGGAAGAAGAGAAAACTAGTCTCTCTGAGCAATTGACATCGATTTCGGAGAGGAGTGAGGAAGTGATATCGAAAAGGGAAGAACACGAAAGCTCGGCCACATCAGCATCAGGGAGTGTGGAAATGGAGGTTTTAGAGTTGAGGCGTCTGAACAAGGAGCTGCAGCTGCAGAAGAGAAATCTTGCTTGCAAACTTTCTTCTGTGACATCCCAGTTGGCTTCTCTGGCAAAGGCTTCTGAGGTAGAATCAACTTCTATGGAAGCACTTCTACTAGAAGTACTTTTATTATAAACATGTATAAACTTTTATCAAAAAAGTACAAAGCGCTTGGAGTTTCTCGTTTTATCTTTAGCAACCAAACACATTAATTGATTTTGTTTTCATTAATTTTACCGCTTTAGCTTTGTTTGCTTACTGCAATTTTGTTGTATTGGTTATCATCAGAGTGACATCGTTGAGAAGATCAAGGCTGAGGCATACGTGCTAAGGCATACGAACGAAGATTTGTGCAAACAAGTTGAAGGTTTACAAATGAGTAGGTTGAATGAGGTTGAGGAGCTAGCCTACCTGAGGTGGGTGAATTCATGTTTACGAAATGAGTTGCAGAACTCATCATCCACCACAAATTCTGATAAGACATTAAGCCCCGCCTCGATTGAAAGGAGTGGTAAATCTGATGGAGCACTGTCATCTAGAAGCAGCAAGTACTTAGAATACAATGGTGGAAAGAGATTGAATCTGATAAAGAAACTAAAGAACTGGCCTATAGCTGACGACGATTTGCCTAACTTAGAAAGCTCAGACGAGGAAGCAAGAAGTCCGAAAAGAAGACACTCAATAAGTGGATCAAGATTCTGTGCAGAAGACTTGGTGCAGACGAATAAGAGAAGGCAGTCTGATGGTTTTATGTGTATCCAAGAAATGGAGAAAGATACAGAACCAGTAGTTTCTCAAGAATATGATTTGGATATGCTTCATGGATCACAGTTCTTCGGAAATTGTCACGAAATTAACAAACTTCCATCTTGCTTAGATGTTGAGAAAAGGGCCTTGAGAATTCCTAATCCCCCTCCAAGGCCTTCATGTTCCATATCTAGTGGAACCAAAGTGGATGGTGCTGCCCAAGTTGCACCACCACCACCCCCACCACCCCCACCACCTCCTCCCAAGTTTGCGGCGAAGCCTAGCACCACAGGAGTGGTACAAAGAGCCCCACAAGTCGTCGAGTTTTATCATTCACTGATGAAGAGAGATTCTAGGAAGGATTCTTCAAATGGTGGAGTTAGTGATGGCCCAGATGTTGCAAATGTTCGCAGTAGCATGATCGGAGAAATTGAGAACCGATCATCACACTTGCTTGCTGTAAGTGCTCACTTGCCCAGTTATTTATAATATTTGTCTGCTTCAACTTCATTTCTTTTGAAGTACTAGAGCAAAATCCTTATTGCTTGTAATAACCATTTCCTTTGCAGATAAAGGCAGATGTTGAGACTCAAGGGGAATTCGTGAATTCGTTGATAAGAGAAGTGAACAATGCAGTTTATCAAAACATTGACGATGTTGTGGCCTTTGTGAAGTGGCTCGATGACGAACTTTGCTTTCTTGTAAGTTTGATCTCTCTCATGCCCAGAGTAACCATTTTACTATAACTGAGTGTGCAAAATAACTTCACTCACATATCTCTTTGATAAAGTACTTGATGTGTGAGATGCTAATTCCTTCCCTTGAAAAGGTTGATGAGAGGGCAGTCCTAAAGCACTTTGAATGGCCGGAAAAGAAAGCCGACACACTACGAGAAGCAGCATTCGGCTATAGAGATCTCAAGAAACTGGAGTCTGAAGTGTCTTCTTACAAGGATGACATCAGACTACCTTGTGATATTGCACTAAAGAAAATGGTTTCCTTGTCTGAGAAGTAAGAACCTTCATGGCTCTTTTCATAAGACGATCCATCTTTTTCCTAGTAATTAAACTTACCAAGTGTTTCCTTACCTCTCACAGGATGGAACGTACCGTTTATAACCTTTTCCGGACAAGAGAATCGTTGATGCGTAATTGCAAGGACTTCAAAATCCCCACAGATTGGATGCTTGACAATGGAATTTTAAGCAAGGTAGACTTTGATATTCTCTATGAACGAATAGCAGACGCCTTTGTGCATCACATATCTGATTCGATGCCCGTCTTGCAGATTAAGTTTGGCTCAGTCAAGTTGGCAAAGATGTACATGACAAGGGTGGCTATGGAGCTTCAGTCGAAGGCAGCAGCGGAGAAAGATCCTGCAATGGATTACATGCTGCTTCAGGGAGTGAGATTTGCTTTCAGAATTCATCAGGTTAGCAGTGCAAGAACGAAAAAAGATACCCAGAATTTTATTTCTGTATCAAGTTTAGATGATTGAGATATGTTTCTTGCTTGATATGCAGTTTGCAGGGGGGTTTGATGCAGACACGATGCACGCGTTCGAAGAACTTCGCTACCTTGCTCATCTTCTCAACAAAAAGTAAAGAGGCAAAAGGTGGTGAAAGGCTGAAAGCTTTATGGAAAAGTTTTGGCTAACCATCTCAGTAAGCTTCATACGGGAAAATGTATACCTTCCGTAGGAAGCATTCTGGGCAAGACAGCATAATTCGGCTGTAGTTTTTGTGTGACAAAAAATGTATACACTATGTACTGCAACGACTTCTTGTAAGTTGTACGATAAGAATCATACAAGTTATTCAGAATTTCATACTGATCTCAAAAAAAAAAAAACTTATTTTTAAGTACTTGCTGGGAGCCCTTGGGGGGCGTTTGTTTGCCCTCACTAAGTGGGACTGGACTAGACTGGACTAGCTGTTAGTCCAATACCGTGTTTGTTCCATGCTGGGACTAACATTAAGGGGGGCGTTTGTTTGCTCTCACTAAGTGGGACTGGACTGGACAGGACTAGCTGTTAGTCCAATACCGTGTTTGTTCCATGCTGGGACTAACATTAAGGGCACGTTTGTTTGACAGGATTAAGAGGGCTTGGACTGGACTAAACTATAGTCCAACGTTTGGTGTGCATCCGGATTAGCTTTAATGAGCTTAACCCGGACTCGCTTGGACTAAGTACCTCTTTAGCCGTTCTTAACTAGCAACCCCAAAATTGGGCGGATTCGTAAGCCAGAGCAAACCGAGAGATTTTCTGCGTCTTCCCTTCGTCCTGTCTTCCCTTTGTCCTCATCTCTACGTTCCCTCAACGTCGTCCTTGTCGTGCTCTCTCATCTTCGTCCTCCTCACCCTCATCTCTGCGTCTTCCGATCTCTGCATCTGCTCGCCCTCATCTGAGTTGTATGGTAAACTTCGATTCTTCTATTAATTTCATGTATTTGTGTTGCAGATGGTAATTTTACTGAGCTTTATTTGATTTTGTTGTTTTGGGTTTGATAATTTTTGAATCATAGAGATCTGCACTTGAATAAATTAGGGTTTTGATATTTAGGTGAAATTGAAATTAGAATTTGGGCTTTTCATAAGATGAGATGGAACTTGGGAATTTAGGATGTCAAAGTTGTAAAACTTGGAAGTCCTACCCACATGTTGTTTTCCATTTTTAAAAATTGGGGTTTCAACAATGAGAGTACTATGTGCGTGTGTGTGTCTGTGTGTGTGTGTGTGTGTGTTAGTGTACTCTGTGTGTGTGTGTGTGTGTGTGTGTGTGTGTGTAATTTATGTGTATGTCATTACCAAAAATCCTCGTCTCCAAGCATACTCTCTTCAAACACCTCTTTCACTGTATGTTTCTATCTGCCAGATTAGGATAAATTGATGAGTTAGTGCATAAGAGTTTCCTCTTCTCGATTTAGTGTTAAAGTCATGTCATTCACTAGAAGGCCTTTCACTGCCAAATTAGGTGAATCGAACATAACTGGGCATAGTTGTTTTGGTATGCTTTAGCTCATATCGAAACATTTGCGTTTCTTTAGCTTAACTTTTCTGGATGATGAGGTCAATTATTCTATTTGCATATTCTAATGTCACTGAGCATGGATAACTTGATTGTGCATTTCTCTTTTCTCTTAAGTTTTTGTTTTCATTTTTTTAATTCTTGTTTCATTTTGTTTCTTTATAACTTTCTTGGTCCTGGGATATATGTTGATTGAGTACAACGAATGTCCAACGTTAATTAGCTGTTCAGGTATTTGGCATATAGGTTATTTTGTTCAAGAAATTTAACATTTAGCTATTGGCGGGTGAGATGGAACTTTTGGGTCTTACTATCCTCTGTGTGTGTGTGTGTGTTTGTGTGTTTGTGTGTACTCATTAACGTGGGGGGGAGGGGGTGTGTGTTTGTGTACTGTGTGTGTGTGTGTGTAATTTCTGTGTGTGCGTGTGTGTGTTTGTGTGTACTCATTAACGTGGGGGGGGGTGTGTGTGTGTGTGTGTGTTTGTGTACTCTGTGTGTGTGTTGATCGGATCATATTTATATATATATTTACTTCGAATTCACTCGTCTTTTCTTAGTTAGTTCCTTATATTTTTGAGCTATTTACGTTATTTTTGTGTTTATAGGATTTGTTATGCAAAGAAAATAAAAATAGCACAAATGAGTTTTAAAAAGAAAAAGCTACTTGAGAGCCACGCCCTTTTTGCATTTTAACATAAGTCTTAATTTAGAAGATTGCGTGTATTAACAAATGTAGTTTGCATATTATTGTGGTCATAGTCTTCTCTTTTTGGTAAGTAAGATATTTGCGTCTTCTTGCCCTCTCTATTTGAAGTTGTGTTTTGGTCCTCCAAATCTTTCGTGCATTAGTAAGGATTTATATGAATGTCATGTTGTAATTTTACCTCCATCATGGCATATTTGAATTATTGCTAGAAATATTCACTGCTTCTATAAGGTGTTTAAAGTTCATTTTGGCAAGTAGGAGCCTATTTCTCATGTATTGCACATTAAACTGCCAGAAAGAAGGAATAAAAAATTAAAAGGAGAAAACAAGTGGAGACTCACGGATTGGACAGCAAGAGAACACAGGAGAAGTGGGCTGTCTTGGCAAATGGAGAACATGTCAGAAAAGAAAATGGGATTGAATAAAAAATAAAAGGAGGCGCGGGGAGAGAAGTGAAGCCAGAGAGAAGCAGCGTGCGGAAAAATAAAAGAGGGGACAGCACGGTGAGATGGTGGACAGCAGAAAAAGAAGAATAAAACCGACAGAGAGAAGTGGACAGAGGGGGGACGGTGAAAGAATCCAAGGGAGAGAAAGTGAGAAAGAAAAAGGAGCTGCTTTGGCAGCTGGAGGAGGGGAGAGACGGACAGAAAAGAGGAGATTAGCAACGAGAGGGAGAGAACCGAGAGCGGGGGGGTGGTTTAGCTGCCCTTGCAGCTTTGAAAAACACGTGCAGCAGGGGACGCGAGAAACAGAGAGCAGGAAGGGGCGCTGCCTTGGGCAGCGTAACCAAGTCAGAGGGGAGAGTGAGGACCGAGAGACGTGCAGGAGAGTTGGAGAGGGAGTGCGAATAAGGGAAGGCAGCGTGGATTGGTGAGGAGAGTGAGGTCAGTAGAGAGAGCAAGGTCAGACAAGGAGAGGGCGCCAGCGAGGCGCAATCCACATGGGCAGAAGACTAGAGGCACGGGCAGACTGGCACTGAAGCACTCTCCTCTTTCGGTTTAATCTTTCTTTCCAAACTTCTATTTTATTTTTGTTTTAATAATGTGTAATTAAATTTATTTTGGCTAGAGGTTAATTCAAAGCCATGAATATATTTGTAATATGAATTGATTACCTTCGGTTGTGATTTCATAAGTTGTGATTTCAATTTACTTATCCGTTCGTATAAAAACTGATTTGTGTATGTTGGTTGAGAGTGCACGCTTAATTTACATGCATGAATTTGATGCTAGAATATAAGTGAATTTCACCTAATCGTTATGAACTTATATTCACAAGTAGTGAAGGTTGTTATCCACAATCGTGTTAAGTGAATTCTTGGCAAGAGTATCATGCTTTTCATAGTTACGAATGCCTCGTCAATGCTTATAGTTTTCACAAAGTTTAATGATCTTTGATTGTATCTCTATTGTGCTTTTCACGTAGGGGACTTTTGAAGAATGTTTTGAATTGTTGTATGCGTTTTCCCGTCCAATTCAATAACTTAAGGAAAACTTGAAGATTAAAAAAGTGCTGTTCACGGTTAATCTGGAGTATTGAAATTTACAATTTATTAAAAGAACAACTGGAAATCATTTTGTATGCAAGTATAACATGTGTGGAGAAGAACCCTCTAGCCAGTCCGTCATTTATCATTTTACCTTAATTTTATGTTTTTTGTCAATTCTGTAATTTAGTTAAGTTTAATTTACTTTTCATCAAAAACCAAACACCCATCCATTATTAAATTATATTATTTAGTTAGTTTTCTTTATTGTTAGTCTTTTAATTTAATTTCCGTCCATTTCAGTTCCTAGTGTTTAATTTAATTGTTTTCATTATTTTGAGTCATTTTAAGTGTGTTTCGAGTTATTAGAGTTTTTAGCCTAATTTTGTGTCCTTGAGTCTTATTTAATATTTTTAAATTAATTTAGAATAGATTAGCAATCCCTCCTAATCCCCGGCCTAGAACGATACCCTACTTACATCTATACTACAATTGTCAAAAATAGGGTTTAATTTGTGTGTTTAGTTATTTTACGCATCAAATTTTGGCGCCGTTGCCGGGGATTAGTAACTTTGCTAATCCTTTTATTTTTGTTTTTGTTTATGTTTATATTGGTGTTTGTGTATTTTACTTTTGATATTTGATTTATTTTTCTTTCTTTGATTTTAGGCACAAATGGAGCTGAGGGAAATTTAAAGGAAAGATGCGTCCGGCTAAAGACGTTAAATCAAGCGCTTCTTGGGAGGCAACCCAAGCATTCAACGAAGGGAGACTTTGGAATCGCTAACCCAATCAGATTTGCATTTTTACACCCTTATCTTTACTGCTTTCATTTTGTTTTGTTTAGTTAGTTGTGTTATTTGTTTGATTTCTGTGAGTTTGTGTTATTTAGTTTAAGTATGGGGGAAGGTTAACCAAAGTCTTTCTACTTTAATTTACATAAAAAAAAAATAAAAATAAAAAATAAAAAAAAATGATATAATAAATATAAAAAAAAAAAAGATAAAATTTAAAATTAATGATAAAAAAAAAAAAAAATTACATAAAAATAAAAAAAAAATAAAAAAAAAAAAGTACAAATATTTTACAATGATGTAAACTAATAGTATTCATTGGTCGGGTGGTGCTTCAGTAGTAGGCGGGGCTTCAGCAGTCGGCGGGGCCACAGAAGGAGGAGGCAGCAGAGGTTGATCAGTTGGAGCTTCACTACGCGGTGCCGCTCCAGAAGACGAAGGCAGATGTTGTTGGAACAAACCCACAAACCTCCGATGATCAAGTAAAATTTGACCATCGGTGTCCTGCATCTGGTCAATCTTCCTCTTCATGCTGGTGGCATAGCTGTGTGCGAGCTTGTGCAATTCCTTATTCTCATGCTTGAGCCCTTTAATCTCTTGCTTGAGACTCTGTATTTCAGCCACCAAGGATTCAACGTGACGGGTTCGGGCATATAGGCGTTGGGCCATGTTGGATACGGAACCCGCACACTGCACACTGAGAGCCAGAGACTCCTTGACCGCCAATTCATCAGACCGCCTTGCGAGCAGTCTGTTATCTCTGGGAGTGACAAGGTTTCGGGCCACCACCGCAGCGGTCATGTCATTTTTCATCATCGAATCCC